GATGACTCCGGCGATGACACTAGCGATGACACTGGCGATGACACTGGCGATGACACTGGCGATGACACTGGAGATGATACCGGCGATGATACCGGAGACGACTCTGGTGACGAGTCTGGTGATGATACTGGCGATGACACTGGAGACGATACCGGAGATGATACCGGAGATGATTCTGGTGACTCTGATGATGGCTCAGCTACCACTACCTCGCCTGCCACCTCATCCTCCGCTTCCCCAGCTGCCAGCTCAAGCGCAGCTGCCTCGGAGCTGTGCAGCCCGCAATGCACCGAATGTCTGTCAACTGACACGACCGATACCTCAAGCACGTCATTCAGACGGTCCGGTCTATTCAGCAGAGGGTTGACTCAAAGGGCCTCCAGCTTCCTCACCTGGATGTCCACCCAGATGCAGACCGCACAGCCCCTTGCTAAGAGCACTAGCGGCGTAACTACATCCACATCCGTTGTTTTTGGCAGCGGTACAAGCAGCCTTTCCCAGGCCAATGTTCGCGGATGTACTGTTCTCTACGTTGTCTCCAAGTACGCTGTGTACGAGGCGCACCTGTGGGAATCTCCCGGATTTGTGTCGAGCCAGAACGGCACTGTCGCCTTCAACGAGCAGGCATTCCAGACCAACATCATCAGCTACCTGACGAACGACGTGAACCTCAAGCTGCCACAGCTCACCGGCTCCGCCGCGTACCCCGACCCTGGCACTGAGATCTACATTGGCACGCCTGTTGCCGCCAACGGACAAGGCGCAAAGTACGCGTCTCAAATCTCGCGCATCGCATCAACAGTCAACCAAGCTCTTGGGCTGACTTCTGAGCCGGCGGAATACTACTATACGCCCACTGGCACGGATGGTGAAAACAACTGGCTGTTCCAGTACAACGAGAACGCCTGCAACAAGCCTGTGTGGCAAATTTGGTATGGTGGTGTGGCGGATAATGCGCTGTGGTCATCCAGCCAGACATCTAGCTCCTGCGCCTCTAGTGCGGCGACGCCTTCTCGCACACCAGGAGTTCCTGCCTATACCCCGTCCACCATGATGGTCATGCCTAAAGCGACTCCTGCTTATTAGCGGGGCTGCTATTAATTGATCAAACTCGAGCATGAGCTGAGCCTTGCTGCCAATCTTTGACTCGTCGTCCTCCCTTTTCTGTACGATGCCTCCACACACTCTCTTGTTTCTGTACGATGCTTCACACACTCTCTTGCTATTTTACCTTCTTACCTTCATTCACAAATCTTGCTTACGCTTTCTTACACTCACTTGCTTATCTTACTGTCCACCTGTGACCTATACTTTAGAAAAACTTTCTTCATGTGCATTAACTGCAGTACCTTTAGACAGGAAATTTCATACTTGTACATATACTGCTATCTTGCTATGTAGTCAGCGTAAAATGCAACAAACCCGCCAAGCAACAGACTACGTATTGTCCATGCCCCTTACATGGAGAAGGGGAAATCCCCACCCACCGACCCATCAACCCATCAATCCCCCCGTCACCAACCCAGTTCCACACCCCGAACCAAGAATCAGAACCAGATCAAACAAAAAGCCAAGAAACACAAAAAGAGAATCAAAATGCCATTCAAGATCCTCCTCAAGGCAACTCGCCTTCCAGAAACCTCTCCCTCCACATTCAAATCCCGTCTAGAAGCGCACATCGAACTAGTCAAGCGTCTTACGGGTCCTGATTTCCCCCTCTCCCATCGACGAAGCTATATTGATCGTCCTACTACCCCGTCTTCAGAGGGAACATATCCTACCACCGTACTACTCGGACAACAGAGTGATTTCTCATTCGACGTGATAGCGGAATTGACATTCGAGGATGAGGCTGCATTCGAGCGGTTTCAGGCGAAAGTGGGAGAGCCAGATATTGCGAGAGCAATTCATGAGGATGAGAATGGATGGTCGGATCGGGAGAAGTTGGGAATTGTGGTGTTGGGGGAGGTGAGGGAGACGAAGAGGTGATTTCAACGTTGTTTTGTTGGTTGATGTTGATGATGATCCACTCTACAGAGAGAGGATGATGTGGGGTTAGTATTGCGCTTTTGAGCATCGAGGAAGATCAATTGGACGTTATTAGAGTATGTGTGAGACTTGCATATCCTAGTAGAAGATTTATCGCCTATCACATTCATTATTACTTACTGAAAGACCATTCTATGTCCACAGAGTGACAGGTGACACAAGGATCGACGACCCCTTGTAGATCTGCCGCATCACTGTTCCATACATAACAACAACCGACAACCACTTCAACACCACCCTTCACCATCCATCATGACGCGTTATCCAATGCTACGTAACTCTCGAGTATTACCAAATCCCCAACAATGGCCTCTACTACGCCACCAACTCCCCATCCATCGCGTCAAACGCCCTACACCAATTCCCGTCACGCGTCATCACACAGCCTCGTACACAACAAATGCCCCACCCCAATACCAACTCTCCAAATACAGCTTGAACCAGTCAGAACCAGACAAAGATCTCTCCGCAGTGGCCAGCTCAAACTCCCGGCGGATTAAGTCGGTCTGCCTAGCCTTTCTCTCACCATCTAGAGCGCTTCAGCCCCTCACCTCACGGTGTCACCCACTTCTCAATAAATATCCAAGGCATCAATTTAACTCTAATATTCGCACCCGCTACTCAACTATGACAACGCCAGGCAGTAACAACTCAGCAAGCGAGCCATACCCCAAGTACTACAACTGGATTGACGGGGCCGAGTCACTCGAGAAATATAGACCCGGAGGCTACCATCCCAACATGATAGGGGATCTACTCCATGACCGATATCGCATCGTCGACAAGCTCGGATACGGGGGATACTCGACCGTTTGGCTCGCCCGCGACACCCACTTGGAGCGCTACGTCGCTGTCAAAGCGGGCATAGCGGATTCCCTCCCGCATGAAACTAAGATTTTGCGGGCTCTTTCGGCGCCCGCTTCAGTGCCATTGTCTGTTCGCGCGGGCCTCGACTCCATCCCAGTACCGTTAGATGAATTCGAGGTGACTGGTCCCAACGGGACGCATCCATGCTATACGACGACACCCGCACGATGCAACCTCAGAGAAGTCTCTTTCAGTCGTCTGTTCCCCCTTGACGTCGCGCGTGCGTTATCGGGGGGCCTTATGTTAGCTGTTGCATATATGCACTCGCAAGGCTATGTTCATGGAGGTAAGCCCAGAGTCCATCGCTTTGACCCAGTAGTTCAAGTCGATGCTCACAAAAGCAAGATATCCATCTTCGCAACATCTTAGTGAAGCTACCAGCAAGCTTCGACGTTCTTTCTACTGAGGAATTTTACGAACAATATGGGAAGCCTGAGACGGTGTCAATCACACAGCGCAATGGAGGTTCGCTTCCACCCCATGTTCCACCGAAGGCAGTGCTACCTCTTTACCTCGGAAAAAAAGCCGAGGAATTCACATTGCAAGACGCCGCAGGTTCTTTTGAGCGATTTCGGAGAGGCGTTTCCCCCAGTCTCATCCCCTCGCTTTGGAGAGTATTGCCACACCCCTGTGCCTTACTGCCCACCCGAGGCTCTGTTTGAGCGCCAGGCGCCTCTGTCGTACCCTGCGGATGTTTGGAGCTTAGCTACTGCTGTGTGGGAGATTCTGGGCATGAAGGCTATTGTTAGTACCGAGGCGCCAGAGGATGAAGTCACGTCTCAGCAGATTGATGTTCTTGGGCCTATGCCGCAAGCGTGGCATAGTGCATGGGAAGAGCGGAGCTATTTCTTTGACGAAGATGGGCGTCCAGTGGAAGGCCGCGAGGTATGGCCTACTTTGGACCTCGCATTTGAGCAGGGAGTGAGGGAGTATCGACGGCAGGGTGGAGTAGGGGATTTCGGTGATGATGAGACTGCTACTATTTTGCAGCTGATGCGGGGGATGTTGAGATTCAAGCCGGAAGAGAGACTGACGATTGAGGAGGTGCTGCAGTCGGAATGGATATTGAAGTGGGTGATGCCTGATTATGAACATAGTTTGCAAGCATTTACATAATTTATAGATAGATAGATAGATAGATACACCAAACCTACTCCCCCCGATAAGAAGTAAAGTAAAATTACTTCGTAACCTCCTCCGCAAACCCAACCAACAACTCATTCACAACATCCGGCTTCTCCAACTGCACCCAATGACCCGCATCCACCACCTCGATCCTCGAATCCACCACATTCGTAGTCGTCATATGCGACCCCACTTCCATCCGACAAACATAGTCCTGCTTAGCAGCAATATACAGATTCTTCACAGTGCATTTCCCCACTCCACCCTCAATGCCCGCTTCATCTTCGGTATTGATGCCGCGAATCGCAGCCTTATACCACGACAGCGGACCAGCGTATCCACCCTCCGAGAAGACGCGATGATGGATATCGTAGTCTTCCTGGGTGAGCCACGACGGGAGAGGGGTGGTCTTGCCGGACCGGACCCATTCGGCTGCTTTGCCGATGGGAGCGAGATCGGTTTTCCACATCGCAGGGTCTTGCGGGTAGATGAGGTTGAAAGCGGATTGGGGCTGTATACTTGTTAGCATATAGTTCAGAATGAATAGGGGTGAGGGGATGGATGTACATGAGCCGCCATCTCATCAGCCGCTTCATCGGTGTTATGCCACAGCCAGTACCCGAAGACGGGGTATCCAAAGAGGGATTCGGTGTGTTTGAGGAGACCGTCTATCCCTGTCAGCAACTGATTTCTCTAGCTACATATAATTGAATTGATGGAAACATACCAAGATCGAACTTCGGTCCAGGGGCATTATACGCGACCGCAATGCTCACGAACCCATAAAATCGCTGGGGGTAGTAATAAGCCACGCGGGAGGCGAGACCGACGCCCCTTAAGCCCCTGTTAGTATTCATTCATGCAATTGACATACTTATATATTGAAGGACAGATATACTTACCAATCATGCGCAACCAGCACCGCCCGATCGACATTCTCGCGATCCAGAATCTCAATCACATGCTGGCTCATCGCCTTCAAACGATATGCTTTGAGGTCCGTCGGCTTGTCGGTATCGCCATAACCCAACAAATCGGGCGCAATTACACCGTATCCACGCTCCTGCAGGAATGCGATCTGGTGTCGCCAGTCATAACTGGTAGAGGGGTAGCCGTGGAGGAATAGGAAGGTGGGTTTTCCGTCCGTGGCGGGGACGTGGACGTAGCCGTAGGTGGTGCCGTCGGAGAGAGTGGCTTTTTTGGCTAGGTTGGGGTAGACGGTGGATGCCATTTTTGTTTATGGGAGAAGGTGGTGATAGTTGCACTTAAAGGGGGGAGTAGGGTGAGATTGGGGTAAATATATGATGGGTTTGGAGGGGTAGCTTTCAGCCTTGTTGGATATTTGTTGAGTGTCAGCTGTAAGCAGTGGGATTGACGAACTACCCTATCACAGTGGATCTTGGCTTTGTTGGTAGTTACTAAGTGAGATGGGGATACTTGGGGACACCTTATGATCAAAGAAGTAGTAGAGTTTAAACTAAATGAGTATGGGTGGTGGTTCATGGAGGGGCATTTATTTGGCTGCCAAGGCTAGTTAGTTAGTGGCCTCCACTCTGCCGAGGCACAATATTGAGGGTCTGTATTTCCGATTAGTGAACTTGACATAACATTACACTTTGGTGATTTATTTACCTCTTAACTATGAAATATTCGTGGTCCTCCCCGATAGAGAATATAATAGCTTTGGTTTTTCAATTCATAGTATAGCTCCATGTCTGAACGTGATGCAGCTAGTCGTTCAACCCTGTGTTGACACCTGTTGGAACCCGCTTTTTAGTGCGCTTTAGAAGTAAATTCGTCAGTCATGCGTGGGAGCTAACCGCTCGACCAATTGGTAGAAGACAAAGACGTGAGTCTTGGAGCCAAGAATGCGCATCACTCATAAGCTTCACTTGATAGAACCACTACAGGTAGGAATGTGGGACGCCATTCTCACGTCGCCGTTGATCAAGTTTCCAAGCGTGTCGCAAGTACATAAGCATTCCCATTGAGATGTTTAGGACTCATCTAATTTTGTCTCTTCCTTGCTTAGCGGATCAGGTAAT